AAACTGAGGGCACCCCAATGGGCTCTCCCCTATCTCCGGTCGTAGCTAACATTTTCATGGAGAAATTTGAGACTGACACCATCCAGACTGCCACTCTGCGCCCAACCTTATGGAAGAGGTACGTGGATGACACTTTTCTCATCTGGCCACATGGCCGGCCTGCTCTAGACCAATTCCTCGACCACATAAATTCCATACACCCAGCCATCAGATTTACCATGGAAGTCGAAAAAGATGGCAAGCTACCTTTATTGGATGTCCTAATAAAAAAGAGACCTGATGGTTCAATGAGCCACTCTGTCTACAGGAAAGCTACCCATACGGATGCTTACCTGAAACCGGATTCCCACCACCATCCATCACAGAAGAATTCCCTCATCAAGACTCTGCATCATAGAGCCCAATGCATATCCGACCAGGAACACATAGCCAGTGAACTCAAGCACGTACACCAAGCTCTTAAGGCTAATGGTTACTCCGACTACACAATCCGCAAAGCTATCACTCCAACCATGAAGAAGGACCCTCTTGAGGAGCCTTTCAAAACCATCACTTTACCCTACATTGCGGGGATCACAAAAAAGATCTCCAAAATCTTGAATAAACACAAGATCCAGACCCGATTCAACACATTACATAAAATCCGTGATCTGGTTCCGTCTGTAAAAGATGTGATTCCGGACATACAGTACCCTGGCGTCTACAAACGAAGTTGCCTCTGTGGTAGTAGTTACATTGGAGAAACCAAACGACATGTCTCGGACCGCATTCGTGAACACAAAGCAGACCTTAAACACGGTAGGACCAACACCTCGGCCGTAGCAGATCACTGTTATAATTCAGTAGGCTCACATGACATTAACTTTTCCAAGACAGAGGTTCTTTGCAAGTCATCTGGCTACCATGAGAGATTCTTTCATGAGGCTATCCACATATACAAACAGAGAGACAATTTCAACCGAGAAGATGGATTATGGCTTAGCAACCATTGGAAGGATTTGATAAACCATTCCGGGTCTTAATTGATTGTTCACGCTTATGGTGGCTTTCAGACCGCATCCATTATTTTCGTCTCCCCCCTCCTCTTTTCCGAACATAGATGGACTCGTCCATCTGAATAACTGCCAAATCGCTCTCCGTGGTGCTAACGTTAAAAAAACGCCACTTTAAAAAAAATATTTCTTGCTGTGGGTTTCACACCTGATGATGATTGCTTGTGTTGCAGTCGAAATGTCGTGAGAATTTATTGTTTTATATTTTTATTATTTTTTTGTTTCCCTTCTCCGTGACTTTACCGAAATAACCAAGAATACATATTTATTGTTTAAAAATACAGACAAATCAGTCAATTCAGGTGCCAACGGGCGCACAACAATGGACGTGGAGACTTCTTGGAGTTGGCGTTTGTTTTTTGAATCTGAGACTCCAGCTCGAACCTCCGCGCCTGAACGTAAATAAATGCAACGCTTTTTATTTCAGCCCGCTTCTCACTCTCTCGCGGGTTGGCAACTTCACCGCTGTGAATACGATGTTGGTTTTCTGGCCAAAATCAGGGGTGAAAGGGCATGGGGGCGGACGGCGGGGGCTCCGTGTTCACCTGCTTGGGTAAGCATTGAGCTCTCTTCATCAGCTACCTTGGCTGCTGATGCAGTTTATAGCATCCTGAAGACTATTTAATAGAGGTGGGGGGAGGGTGGGGCGGGTACTTTTTGCCGACTCTAACTGACACCATGTGCCACATGTGCATAACAAAAATTGCGCATATTTATTTTTTAACAGAGAGAAAAGTTCAACTGTTAACAATGATTTATCGCTCACACACGTGGTGATTGCTTGCCAGACGTACCAAGGAGGTTGTACAATACTGTAGGTGTCAGACTTCAGAGGCGTGAGCTCATTCGCTTGCAGTAGACAACGGGGTATTGCAGTTCTCGGTGGAAGGATTTGGGGGGAGAGGGCTAAGCAAATCATGGATCGAGTGACAGAACGCAGGAGTAGAGACGTGAAGCAGACAGCTGTCTGGTGGGCGGAATGAGATTTGGGACCTGGAAGGAGGTGGCCAAGGGAAGTGAAAGGAGAAGTTCTTGAGGTGGTTATCGTTAAAAGTGACAGGCGAAATGGTGGTGGTGACAGAGATAGATTTGATGCTGGTGATGACGGAGATTGATAGTGTGGCTATAGGATTATGAGACAGATTAGGTGAGAGAGTTCTATGGATTCCAAAACAGACTGGATGGTGGTCGAAATGGTTTTAGATAAATAATTATGAAAATGGATGTTCAAATCATGAGTAAGACACCTGGTTTTCAATTATGATCAAATTCAGACGTGAAGTTTGGGTTTAGCTTTAACGGACGGTAAACAACAGAGCGAAGCCGTTAAATAAACTAAACGATTTGCAGAATTCAAGAGACAGTGATGGGCAGCAAGTATACGATAGGATAATATAATCAAGTCAGCAGTACTAGATTTTGAAGCTTTCGTGACTGCAAGGATCCATACTCTTTGGTTCTATTCGGTAAAGTCACGTAGGTAAAAAATAAAACAACAAAAATCACGACGTTTCGGCCACAACACAAGCGGCCTTCATCTGGTGAAGGGACCAGATTGTCTCGAAGACTGCGCTGGAGTGAAACAGAGCCAAGCTCAGACCACGGCCTTTAAGCTGTGTGAGAGGGATTAAGGTGCCTTGACAAAGGAATTAGAATAAAAAATAGCATTTAATTGGCGGACTTAGCATGATGAAAGGTGTAGAGAGGGTGAACATGTGGGTGCACATGCCGCATGTGCTGCGAAAGGTTGGGGTACCACTACTTGAAAAATATATATATACTGTTCCATTGAAAATTAGTTTAATGTTTGGTTCGATTTAGAACATCTTTCCAATGGTTGCTTAATTTGAAACCATCTTCTCGGTTGAAATTGTGTCAGTGTTTGTAGATCTGAATTGCCTCGTGAACAAATCTCTGATAAAAACCCGTGGGTTTGCAAAAAACCTTGGTATCGGAGAAAATTATATCGTGATCACCCACAGCATTGTAACAGTGATCAGCTACGGCAGAAGAATTCGTTCTGCCGTGTTTCAAATCTGATTTGTGCTCGCGAATTCGGTCAGAGACATGTCGTTTCGTCTCCCCGATATAGCAATCACCGCAGGTACAACTCAATTTGTAACCCCGGGGTACTGTAAGTCAGGAATGACATCCTTCACGGATGGGATCAGATCACGAATTTTGTGTACTGTATTGAACCGGACCTGGATCTTGTGTTTGTTTAGAATTTTGGAAATCTTTTTAGTAACACCTGCTATATATGGTAGTGTGATGGTTTTGACCGGAGTATCAAGTGGTTGTTTCTGCATGGAGGGAGAAACAGCTTGGCGGATGGTACGGTCAGAGTATCCATTCCTTTTGAGGGCCAGGTGTACATGTTTTAATTCACTGGTCAGGTGGTGTTGGTCCGAAATGCAATGAGCCCTATGGTATAAAGTTTTGATGAGAGAATTATTTTGGGCTGGGCGGTGGTGGGAATCAGGTTTAAAGTAGTAATCTGTGTGGGTGGGTTTCCTGTAGACAGAATGCCCCAATGAGCCATCAGGTCTCCTCTCAAACAGAACATCTAAGAATGGTAGCTTGCCATCTTTCTCCACTTCCATGGTGAATTTGATGGCGGGATGTCTGGAATTGATGTGGTGTAGGAAAAAGTTCAGAGCTGGGAGACCATGTGGCCAAATGACGAAAGTGTCATCCACATATCTCTTCCACAGGGAAGGTCTGAGGGTGGAAGTCTGGATGGCGTCCGATTCAAATTTCTCCATGAAAACATTGGCTATCACTGGTGACAAGGGGGAACCCATGGGAGTACCCTCATTTTGCTTGTAGAAGGAACCATTCCAGGTAAAGTAGGTGTTGGTGAGGCAGTGTCTGCCCAGCGTAGGTACCTCGGGGTTTAGTCCATGTTGTACCAAATTTTCAATTATATCAATGGTATCAGGTACCGTAGTAGTCAGCAGTAGCCCAATAAACTAAACTGATTCAACGATTTTTTTTGTTACCAGCTAAGGCCCACTGAGCTCTTTTTCAGAAGCGACCTGGCCACAAATGATAGCTCAACGAAGTGGCTTATCATTTGGAAATGTATAGCAACCAAATACTCTAAGCGCACGTTTCTAAATGTGGAGGGAAAACCGGAGTACCCGGAGAAAAGTCCACGCGATCATGGGGAGAGAGAAACACGCAAACTCAAGGTCGGCATCGAACCCACGACCTCCTGCATACCAGACGAGATAGTCAACATCTCGTCACTGCGAAATGCTCCGGATCAACCTCGGGTTTCTCTTCAGCAGATGCTACAACAACCAGCCACTCACAGGGGGTGATTGGTTACTTCCTCCAACCTTTGAGGCTCAGCCTCCATCACTGGGTCAGATCCCTTCTGCCCCATAATGTTGTTGGGGCTGATGATTTCTCCCTTCTCCAATACCTCACAGCAATGGTCAGCAAATCTGCAGACCCGATTTGCGGATCGGATATTAATTTGCTATTCTTCTCTTAAGGATGGTAATTAATATGGGTGGTGTTGCAAGTGTTTTTATGGTATTAAAGGGTAATGCCATTAAAAATAACCTCTGATTAGCACGTTTGGCTACCTATGGTGCAAATGAAGTTCAACATACATACATGCATGGACAGCTGAAGCAGTTTCTATAGCATCATGAACATGTGGCTACCACTCATCCTTGCAGCAGCGAACATTAAATATATAATATATACATACATACATATTTAACCAGTTTTAGTTATTTAGCGTATTTTTGAACATTTGTGAACATAATTCGAGGAATATTCAACCGTATTTGTACAATTTGGATGAGTGATCTCGTTCGACTTTATGCTCGCAGAAACGTACAGATATATAATTGTGCAGATTTTTTTTCCCTTCTTAAATTTGTACAGATTGTACTTGCAACTCGAAAGAGAGGGCACGGCAGTTTAATGCCACGAGCATAGTGCGGTTCCGCTATGGGAGGGCTGTAACATAATTGCTCCTTGTTATATTTTTTTGGGGGGAGGGAAATGCCTACCATTCCACTCACTCACTCACCACTCTTTCCCAGCACGTCAAAGAAAATCAATGGACGGTCATCTATACATTTGAAAAAAAAATGACATTCTAATTCTATGGATTGTTCTCTTTGCAACAACAACAAAAACACATGGGCGCTGCGGTGCTTTTTTTCACAGGTTTGAGGTCGGCAGTTGGTAACATTGGAGACGGTGTCACATGTAACATCGCCCCACACTGGATGATAATAAAGCAACCTGCAAAGCGCTGCGCTGCGCTGTGCCACTTGTGCGTTGGGGGGTTCTGGCTACACGGTGATACCAAGAGCCACAAGCTGTGTGGACTTGCAGCTCAGCGCACACGCGTGACCAGCTCAGGTACGGCCGCTTACACGGGCTGTTATACCCAGCACACGCAATCACGCATATATCACACACACAGCACGCAAGCACACTTACATACACGTGCATGCGCATACATACTTATATAAACAGATGCAACGTATTTTGTAGAGGCAATAGGCAGTTTGTAGAGACAATAGCTGTTTGATCTTACGAATTAGGCAAAGCAATGACAAATGGACTTCATCCAATTACTGAACAGAAAATGCATTAAAAGGCTTAATGATCATACCGCAAAAAGTATCTTCACATTCATATAATATTTTATTGGTCAGGTAGCGGGTGATCGAGGACAGTCATGTTATTGCAGTAATTAACGGGTAAAAAGAAAATAAACATTCGTTTGTTTGCATGAGTTGTATTGGACGCTAGGGGAGCTTCGTACTTTGACAGAGAACACTATTAAAAGTGATGTGTGCTCTCATTGTCGGTACGTGACGTGTGTGTGTGTGTGGCGTAACGGTTCGCGCGCTGCACTACGAACCCGGCGACCATAAGTTCGATTCCCGCTTACGGCCAACGCCAGTGACGAATATCTGAACCGGTCCTGGACCTTCCCTCGGATCGACTAAGCCTCAAATGACCACCTGGCGCGGTGTGTAAACATCGCGACTGGGGAGACAAAGGCGGTCGGGCGTGGTGCTGGCCACCCCACCCCCTCGTGCACCGTTCCGGCCTTCATAGGTGCTCGCTGACAACACTTGCCCCTAACAGTCTGTCGAAGGCTACGCGGTGGCATCTTTGTCTTTTTGTGCTACAGCGCAGAGAGGTTCTATCGCCTCTCCGGATGGAAGAAGCCACCACCCATGCCCTGCTCGCAGCCGCGATGGTGCTGAAAGGGACAGCGCAATTCCCTCCGGCGGGATGACAATCGCCGCCTTCGCACACACGCGGCTCTCCCTCTCTCTCTCATCCCGCATCATCAACAACAATGCCAGCCACCCTGCGGTCCCCCCCCCGCCACTCCACCCAACCCCAACAAATGGAAGAAACCCCCCCCCCCCCCCTTCAGCAAACGCTTCTGTTGGCGTTAATTCGGCGTAACAAGAGCCCGAGTCGTCGTCCATCTCAAACGGACGCCGCAGCCGCTGCGACGCAACGAGACGAGCAATGAACACGCAGGCGTCCTTCTAAGTTCCGTTGATCACTCTTCCTACCGCCGCGTTGTTTTCTGCTCTCCGCGTTGGGATTTAAGCTGTGAATTCGGGAGGCATTTGGAGGGGTCGGAAAGGATCGTCTCAATCGGTACGCGACAATTAAACTTCTGCCTCGGAAGGAGCCAACTCGCTACTCTCATTTAAAACGCATTTCTTTCGAACTGCTTTCTGTGTTTCGTTTTGTTGTCCTCCCCCCCACCCCCGTACCTCCGATTATCACGGTTGGTTAGGCACGCTGCGAAAGAGGTTCGACGTATATACACATACTGGATGGCGTTTTAGGATAGCGTGTTCGCATTAACGGCACGGGACGGATTGAACTGGAAGAAAAAAGAAACAGGAGCCTGCTGGCGTGCGCAGCGAGTGGTGCTCGCTTTGTGGTTTCATCCACGCGGGGTAGAAACTTCGTTCATTTATAAATCACAGAGGGAGGCAGGAAGGAAAGAACACGGAGCGAGAGAGGCCCCGCCTGGACATGGAGGCCCCGGGGTCAGGTTGGACCCAGTCGAACGCGACTTCGTTTCTCAACGAGACAGCGGTGAGCGCGAACGGAACGAACAGGACGCAGGTCGACTACAGCAGTGACTTCTACATCACCTTGCCCATCATCTACTCCGTCATCTGCGCCATCGGCTTGACGGGCAACACGGCTGTGATCTACGTCATCCTGCGCGCCCCTAAAATGAAGACGGTGACCAACATGTTCATTCTCAACCTGGCCATCGCGGACGAGCTCTTCACCCTGGTGCTGCCCATCAACATCGCCAACCACCTGCTGCAGGACTGGCCCTTCGGAAAGACCATGTGCAAGGTCATCCTCTCGATCGACCAGTACAACATGTTCACGAGCATCTACTTCCTCACGGTCATGAGCGCCGATCGCTTCTTCGTGGTGACGGCGACGGTCAAATCGGAGAACTTGCCCCGCAGGACCTACAGGAACGCCAAGCTGGTGAGCCGGGGCGTGTGGCTGCTCGTATCCGTCGTCATCCTCCCGTTCACCATCTTCGCCAGCACGTACGTGGACGAGTTCGACAGGAATCACTGCAGCCTCGACTTCCCCAAGCCGGAGTTCAACTGGCTCAAGGGCAGCCGCATCTACACCCTCGTCTTCGGCTTCGCCATCCCCGTCTCCACCATCTGCATCCTCTACACCACCATGCTGTACAAGCTGAGAAACATGAGGCTCAACACGAACGGCAAGGCGCTGGACAAAGCCAAGAGGAAGGTCACGATCATGGTGTTCATCGTGCTGGCCGTGTGCCTCTTCTGCTGGACACCCTACCACCTGAGCACGGTCATAGCCCTCACTGGGAACCTTCAGGAGACCCCTGTGGTGGTTGGCGTCTCCTACTTCATCACGAGCCTCAGCTACGCCAACAGCTGCCTCAACCCGTTCCTGTACGCGTTCCTCGATGTAAACTTTAGGAATAACTTCCAGAAACTCCTGGAGTGTAAGGTAGCCTCCTGAATCTATACTTCGTAAACTCAAACGTGATATATTTGCATGCAGATTATATTATAATATATTATTTTAAACACATGTATTATCAGCCTGTGAAATTGTGATTCTGGGCTCGATAGAATGCCATGCTAAAATAGGTTGACGCTTAAAGTTACGTTATTTTATTACAGTACTGATAACGATTTTAAATATAGATCTCGCTTATGTCGGATTGTGTAATGTGCGTTCAATCCATACAGCTGAAAAAGTACGGGCACAGTTACCAAGTCACCACGGATAAAACATAAATAGTGTGCACTTGAAAAATGCTCATTTTGTTTCATCGTGCACTGTATTCTCATATAATGTTGAGAAATGTAAAGTTTTTGTTTCAATAAATACCAATGGCTCCATCACATCCCGATTCATATTCATTAAAACTGGAATGGAAAAACACCATGTTGCGTCATTCTATGCATTCAAATCCTGAGTAAAAATGTGACAAACGTGGCAGGCAACATATATTGAGTTGCTTCCCCATCCCTCAACGTTTCCCATGTATTGTGATAAAATATGAAAACAACATAGGCAGAGGGCATTGTCGACAGCACATGGGCACACGGCCATTGCACCAATGTCATCCGGTTGAAGTCAAACACTTCGTAGCTTCAAAGTTATTTGAAAAAATACATAGCATTGGCATATCAACATGATTTTGGGCAAATACACGGAATTTTTTTCACGTGTATTCATTATTGTTGGACAGCCATAGCAATCTCGTTGTGAGTTTGCTTTAAGAAATTTGGCCACGACCTTCTTACATCAAAGCTAATTTTCAGAAGCACATCGTGCCATTGACATGAACCAGTTCTGATGTACAGTATATGTACACTATTTATCAACAAAGAAACGAAAGAAAACCACCTAATTTAAAACATATTATAAAAAAACATGTTATAACCGAATGGTATTCATATCTGGGAAAGTAGAGAAAAATATAAAACAGTAAAATTTTGACATTTATGTAAGTCGATGTTTTGACCAACTTATATACTATAATTATTATATTCAGCCCTTTGTCAATCAACTGCTGGTACCTTGTAATTATTATAACTCTTCTCATGAAGCGTTATAATGAAGAGTTATAATAAGTCTGGTACTTTTTAAGTTATTAAATTCTCAAAAATTTAGTTTACAGTTTAATCTTTGGCAGTAAAAAAACCTATAAATAATATATAAATTGCCGATCATATATTTTCACTAAAATGACTTGCCTTCATTATTGCAATTTTTTGTTTACATATATAGACTTGATAAACATTTAAATTTGATGCCAGATTTCAATATTCATACGAAATTAGAATGTTGTCTGAGATAAACAATAGTACAGGAATACAATGATTCTAACATCCGATTTTCCATTCACAGTTACATTTCTGCAATCATAACAGGATAAAGACACACCTTCGTGATTATCATGTTCGGACCGATAGATCATTACTAAATTATAAACTTGTGTAAACTTTGATATAATCGAGAGCATATTTACATTACTTCCCAACCCCCCCCCCCCCACCCATTAAAACATATGGATTGCAAAAATGGTACTGAAATGACTGCTTTGACATTTCTGTGATAGAATGACAATGAAGACTCAGTTTTCACACACATTTATTCATATATTTTAACATTAACCTTCTCATATATTATATAAGCTAAGGCGAAAAGTGACAAGAGATCAAACTGTAGCCTACACGTGACCATGTGCTGTAGTTGTTATAATCATAGACGACCAAGTATTCCGGACGTGAGGAAAACAATTGTACTGCACTGCACAAGTTCACTCTCTTAACTGGATCCCACCACAATTAACCACATGCAATTTTTTGTAGAACAAAAAAAATCCAATAACTGCTCGTTTGTTCAATTTTAAATACCACGCATTATATATGCGCAGCACGCACGCAGACGGTTGGCAGTCAAAGAGATTTGAATAAACGTACACACAAAGTGTCCGTGGCTGAATATCAGGCTTAATTAACATACTTTTGTCACAATCACCATAGAGCGAGAGCATCGGTGTTAGAAGTTTACTATAACTCGTAAATGCTTTTGATTAGTTCTCCGTATGTTCGTATTACATTTCTTGTACGCGTTCATTATAATGTATTTACAATCTAGATTAGTTTACAGCGGTTGCAGAAAGCATTTAAAACTCAAGATTATCAAAATACGTCTCTACATTCGAAATATAACTACTTCGTTTAGAAGACAATTTCTGTTTATGCGTGAATTTTATTTTTTGTTATTTTCTTTGACACTATCTACGTGACTTTACCGAAAGACCCAAGAATATGAACGTAGTAATTAATGAGTTCATTATTTCTCATTCCTATTTCATTTGTAATAAGTGTCCCCCAAAATATGGTCTCCAATTTAAAATGAGCAGTCTTTCGCGGTGAGGAAAGTTGAATTTGCTCACAGTTTATTTAACTCCAACTGTCTACATTAATAATAATACAAAAATTGACCTGCTTAAGAAACGTTTTGCAAAAATGACTCCATGCCAGTGGCGATAAAATAATCCAGCCCAGGTTTCTTTGAACTGTGCTCCAGAATATATGAGCTTATGCAAATAAGACTTCTCATTAGAATACAATTATAATAACGCCCTTTGCACCGATCTGAATATAATTACTGAGACTCTCACACAGATCATAAGGTAAGCAGTACTTGCAAAAAAAAACGTTGACTGTACTATTGTGTTTCACTGAAAGGCAATCATGTTGGTACAATATATACACGTCAAGATAATACAGCACACAGATGTATCACGATCACTAGCTATAACGTATTCCAAAAAAATAACCTGTATTTTTATAATATCGATAATACACCATGCATTCCCACGATAGCTTTAAACGATGCGATTCACTGCATGTTACACATTTTTACAGAACAAAACATGAGTACAGAAAAGCCATGCCACGCTTTTAAAATACATCATTTGTGTTGTTCAAGAGTTACAGTTCTGAAATGTCTACATATTCATAGTTGACCGCTAAAGCAGCGATACGGTATTGTACGAAATAAAATAAAAACCTTCCACTTAAGACAATCTTAAGTGCAGTTTAACGCATCGGTCCAAATCTTGGTTTTGTTATTCGCATCACACAACAATTGTACACGGCTCACAAACCGCCCTTTTTAAGAGCCATAAACACACACGCGGCTCGAGATTAAACAAGCGCACTGGGAACGCAAGTGAGCAGGTAAACTTTTTCACAGCTGCACAGTTATTATAATAATAAAAAGCTCCACATTGTGAACGAGTGATATTTTTTGCGCAATCCAAACTTGTCCTCTCGTAAGCAACGTGCACACTGACCACACACGTAATTGGGTATTAGTGTGTGTGGAGTGTGGGAGGAGATTGGAGTAATGTGAAAGTGGCCACAGAAACCTCTGGGAGAAGGGCACCAGAGGTGATCCTGTCGGTCTCATCTTTGGTAGAGTTTTTTTTTTAAACAACCACCACCACCACGTCGCTTTGCTCCTTTGCGACTTGCTGCAGGTAACGTTGGCCTCGGTACTCACTCGACGACGCTTTAATTGCGCTACGCAATTAACATTCACAACATCGGAAAACAATCACGGCAATGTATGGTTCATGGCAAGGAGACTACTATTTTATCGTGATTTTTTTCACAGAAATATGCATGATCAACAGAGGAATTGTCTGTCCCAGTGACTTATTCATCTGGCCGAGGAATTACTTGACTTATTTGTCTGGGTTATGGACGCATTCATTCCATTCTATTCCTGCTTATGGCAATATGTTAAGGAGATAAATGGCAATGTCGAGGTCTGCTAGCGATCAGAGGGCTTCAGGAGAGAGTTGTTGTCGTTTTTGCTATTCCTCATCAATTGAAGGATCGCAGGCAACCGTGGTTTACGAGGTGGCCCATAGCTTGGGTTGCATGGCCACAATCGCACTACTGTGGCTGGTCTTGAATTTTCCATTCATGAAGGAGATGCGTCCCGTTGATGGTACATCAGTGATATATTAATGAGACGATTGGGAAAAAAAACTGCAGCACTACAGCTATGCTGAAAGAGTGTGTTTTCTGTAGAGCAGGTACTCGTGGGTTCTGCAAAGAGCCAATTGAATGTATATATGTGTTTATATATCGAGTTTTCGGCACAGCATGGGAGACATTATGTTTTGGCTACTACTGTGAGAATGTCTTATGTGTTATGCTCTTTCTATAGAGCCGCATGCGGCTTGGGAGACGCCGGCTGGCCACGGCTGCTCTTCAGTAACGTACCGACCTGTACACAAATACTGTCCTGGCAGCGTACACTCAAGTTCCCTTTGTCGTGAGCGAGGTGTAAAGATGATCATATCGGCAAATTAACGTTGTGAAATTTGCACAACACGTACATCTTATTTAAACTGTTAAATTTTAACACATTTTTATTTTATCTTAGCGGGTAAGGACCACTGAGCTATACAGCACTTTTTCAGAAACGACCAGGAAACAAATGATAGCCCAATTAAGTGGCTTATCGTGTGGAAATGTATTGCAGCCAAATACTCGAAACGCATGTTTTTAAATGTGAAGTGAAAAACCAGAGTACTCGGGTAAAAATCCACACGACCACAGGGAGAACAAGCAAACTTATTTCAAATTAGAACCCTTTCAGATTCAGCAAGGTTGATACGTGTGACCCAATTTGGTGTTATATTGTACAAAGATCTGGGTTGGGCTGTTCCAATACATTTAAATAATGTTCAAGGCAAAAACCTTCATTTAACTTACATAGCTGAGCTGAATGTCAATAAAAAAACCCTATAGTTGTGGAATAGTGCTGGTATTGCAATCGTAACTTTCACCATGTTACGAACCTTGTCAATGACTGTTTAAAGAGCTTCTTTGCATTTGACAGAGGCATTTTTATTGTCTGAATAAGACCCAGGGTAGATTAAAAATTAATATTTTTTTGTAAAGCAGAAACTTCCAGAGAAATGTGTTTGAATCTTTGAGGTTGCCATTATTTAAAAGGTGAAATAACATTGTATACATAGCTATGGTGTACAAAATATATATGCACCCCGATATATATATAAACATGGTACAGTACTGTTCCATAAAATATATCCAGTGTACATCGTAAGTATGTTAACAACATATTGTGAAATGTCACTCGGAAGTTAATACTTTACGTTAAGAAACATAGCCGCTTGCGAGAAACATTGTAAATCACAGTAACAGATAGCCGAATAACCAACTCGCATATCCATACGTAAAGCAAGCCATCTGAAAATGTCAGCAATGAGAGTTCATCTGCAGGTACAGAACAACGCATGCTTCGCCAAAGTAAATGTGAAGCCATGCCATCATTGTTATTGTCAATATTTTATCAAGGCATCTTCCCCAGGGGGAAAGGGAGTGGGCATCATCATCTTCCTCGGCAGTCTCTGCTTTGCTGTTGTTGTTGTTGCAACACAGATTGGAACTCGGGAAGGGTGCCATCGCATGCAGTTGTATCAAAGCGTCGTGGTGTTTCCCCGTAAGCCAATAGGTTGCACAGCATCACAGAATGAGCGTCAATTGTCTGCTGCTCCTGCTGCTGCTGTGATTCACGCCTCAGGGCCCTGGAAGGGGACACGGCATCCTCCCGCACAGGAGAGGTGGGTCAGTTGTGCAACGTCATGGACAACAAGCACCGAGGGCTTCGTCAAACGGATCGCGAAATGAACAGCGTGAGCATCGCTCGCTCCGACTCATAGTTGCCATTTGGAGAACATAACACAGCCTACTCAGGCCACTCTCCAACATGAGAGAAATTATCAATCCAGCGTGTGCACAAGGCTTCAACAAAGATGCAAACTGACAGCTCATTGCAACGCTGGACGAGCCGCACGTGTCATGGTCCTGACGGTTCATGTTTGTCGATATTCTCCCAATTCCCTCTGATGTGTTTTTTTTTTGGGGGGGGGGGGTTGTGCCGCACGTTGTTTGCTGCCTCAATATTTCGCATACCGAAGAAGCTCCCAACGCATGGCGCGAAACGTCGGGCGTCGCATCGAACAACACACAAGGTACAATTGCTTATATTGTGGGGTGCCGCAACATGAATGAAATTAGTTGTCCAGCGTGTGCACAAGGCTTCAATCGAGATGCAGACTGAACAACGTGCGGTATAACAACCCGAAAACGCACCTGAGAGATGCACAGCACAACCCCGAGCAACCTACGCAGTAGGATCTACTCCATTCACTTTACATTTTTTGGTGCCAAGCGTTTCATATGCGTGCTGGGCCGATCAACGTGCAAATAAAGACTGCTGTGTGCTGCTCAGGAGGTTTGTGGATGGGTTCACCCCTGGCTTAGCCCTGGGCAGGCAAGTCAAGCTGCAGAGTAGCTATGTGCTACGGCACGCTGTGAAAACATGGTCGTGCAGTGATCTGTCCTTTGCGCACATTGAATGGCTCTAAAAAAACACAACGCCTTCAGACAGAACAAGTAACCTGGATCTCCAGAATCCTTTCATGCTTAAACAATTCAATTTGGTCGATGACAAAAAGGAAAGATGCAAATCAGAGACACGTAGACATTATTTTTCAAACATTTTAAATACTGATTTAAAGCTTTCGTGACTGCAGGGATTCATATTCTTGGTTCTTTCGGTAAAGTCACGTAGAAGGGAAGCAATACAATAATAAATAATATATAAAACAATAAAATTCTCACGGCGTTTAGGTGTGAAAACCACAGCAAGAATTTTTTTTAAAAAAGTGGCGGTTTTTTAACGTTAGCACCACGGAGAGCGATTTGAAACGTCGTGAGAATTTAATTGTTTAATATATTACTTATTTATTCTTTTATTGTTTCCCTTCTACGTGACTTTACCGAAAGAACCAAGAACATTTTAAATACTCTTTAGGAGCCACTGGCATCGCTTTTAGACTATCTCAGGGTGATTAGGTGTCTGCTCAGATGAAATTTGTAATATTCAATGTGCCCTCTGGCATTGTCTGCTCGAGCCTCAATGCTCGAGAAACGACTTAAAATCAATATCGTGCTGTTGTCACTGTAAACAAAGGGCCGGTGTTAAAGGTTGAGAGAGTCCACCGAATATAATCTTTTTGTTTAAATGTCAAATAAGATAAGTTCTCTCCAACCTAGAGCAGAGCAACAGATTCACCGGGATGTGCATGTACGATGCAATTAAGAATGATCATGTATGTATATGTTATACATGTACACAGTGTATTATACCGTCCACGACAATGTCAATGTGTTATTACGTATGTATGCATGTATGTCCAACTTCTTTCGCAACGTACGTAGCCAACCGTGCCAATCGGAGGTGTGGGGGAAGGACAACAAACTAAACACCTCTGATCTTGATTTGAAGCTTTCGTGATTGCAGAAATCCATACTCTTTGGTTCTTTCGGTAAAGTCACGTAGGTAGAAAAATAAAATAAAAAGTAACATGCATTATTTTTTTATTTTATTTATTAACAAAAATGTAATAATATATTATTTTTCATTATATCTATTAATAAAAATAAAAAATATATTATTATATTTTTCTAAACACCTCTGATTAGCACGGCGGGCCACGTACGGCACAAAAGAAGTTCAACATACTGTACATACAAGCACAAAAAGCAGTTCTAAAGAAATGAGTTTTCAATCGACACAATTACGAGACAGGTTTGCGGCATGGCGTTATATCGCTTCAAAATATTTAGTGAATACCTGATGAGAGATGCAGTGGAGGGTGTACAGCATGGGTTAAACGCTAAGGGGTATGTAATCAATAATCTCTGCCTTTTGCCAGTTGACATGGTAGCTATTGTGGACTCAAAGGCCAGCCACCAGGAATGAATGCTGGTAGGTAGTGTGTTATGAATGTCAACATTACAAAGACAAAGATCATGGCAATTCGCACAGGTGGAGTACCAAAACTCGTATTGTGTGGGTGCGAGAAGATCTGATGGAACGGGTGAGAAATGTGATTGCCTTTTTGTTGGTGTGGATAAGACTTGAGGATACGAACCATAAAAACCAAGACAGCTTTTGAAAATGTGTACAGAACAGTCACATTGGAGGTGCTAAACAGAAAAAAAAGCAAGAAGGGAGATATTGAAAGCCTCGGTGTGGAACGTAATGGAATGTGCAAGCGAAACAAGAATACTCTGGAAGGATGGGATGAGAAGGATAAATGTGTTGGAGATGTGGCGATGTGGCAGGCGGGCCAGTCAGAGTAAGCTCGTGCAACAGGAATCAGAATGGGGAGGTTGCTGATAGAGAATGGCTGTAAGCAGGAAATGCCAAAATGATTATAAAAAAAGGGAGGCGGGTTATGCGGGGCATATCCTAAGAGGGTCAAGATGGAGAAATGAAGACGATTCTTCTGCAAAGGGGAAAGAGGAAGGGAGAGAGGAGGTAACCTAAGAATACGGCAGAGTTGACGAGACTCTGTGAAATGCACTGAGATTCTATCTATCGTTACGTTTGCTGTCCTTCCCCGGCACCTCCGATTAGCACGGTTGGCTACGTACGGTGCGAAAGAAGTTCAACGTACATTACCGTCAGAAAAATGGCTAACGAAGATTAAAGCATTATATATTCTATATTCACTGTTTTATGTCCATTGTCTCGTGAATAACTAGTGGAATTCAGCAAGAACAAAGATAAGAACATTCTGCATTGCAGCAATATACATGACCTGGAACGCCGTATATTACAACACGAGCTTATGCAGCACATTATGCGAGTAGATTGTAGAATCTCCACCCTTCTTGGTGATACTTTATACGAGACAAATATTTGATATGCAATAAACAACACACCAATGATTTAAATGACATATTTTCCCCCCCACATAAATGGCTTGTGTTAAAGGTATTTTCAAGAGGAATTTTAAGTGTGGTATTAGCCACGTTGAAAATGATTCACCTATTCGAAAATTGCTAATTTAAATATATTTATTTTAAATCCGCCGGTGGTTACAATGTTCGTGGTTAAAGGAAGGTCTGCTTGAAATAAACAAAATAGACTGCTGTGAATACTCCAGATGTTTGCTGCAATCATAATTTGGGATTGGTACTGTAATTGTAAAACGGGCACAGATGCCAAATGACGAGATTGTTCAAGCCTTGTGGAGGTAACATCATATATATTACATCAATCTATTAAATATTCATACACGTTTATCTTTCCATCATTGTTAAACTAATTATACTTCTGAAATATGGCCTGGGTTAAAGATAGAGGCGCAGCCCTGCAATTACTTGCTTCACGCCACCGCTGGCTGTGGCCTTGGAGAGGCAAGGTAGCTTACCTGCTGGCGTTACACGCGCACGAGATCAGACACGCTTTTGATTTCAACGTCATCCTGTGACTCAACAACAAAAACGACCCCCAAGATCTAATGTAGATCATAAAACTGAGCCCCACTCGTAGTGAGCGTCACACAAATCACCGCCCTGCCAGTGTGACTTTAGTTAAGAGTTGTTTATTTAGTCCCGGGGGGGGGGGGGGGGGGTTGGGGGGGGTCACACCCTTGGTCTGATCGCCGGCGACAACCTGTGAAATATTCGTCACTTTTTTAATCTCCGGACTTCGTGTACTAATTCTCTACGCGTGGTCCACTCGAACAGCCAATTATTTTCACAATTGTTAAATATTGGTGTGAAGGGGCATGCAATTAGTACCCCCCCCCCCCCCCACTCCAATACTATCAGATCAGCCAATCAGTGAGATACAGCCAATTACCATTTTCGGTCTTCCTCAGAGCATCGCAATCTCTGTGTTATAGTTGGTCAATGATCCGAGTCTCCGAGTTCATTCAGCGCTGGATAATTTACTCTCGCTAGAGTCGGTGACGCGGTGGTCTTTGACGGGTTAGTCGCTGGCCTTCGACGCAACGCCATCGCCGATTAAAATATAAAAAACAAAAACACACACGCCAAAAAAAACCTTTGCCGAATATTATTTCGTCGCGAAATTAACTCCCCGCCCCCAGCCCCCCTCCCCCCTTCCCCCCCCCCCCCGCTTAACTAAACTCAACACCGGTCAGCAGGGCCCGTCCCCCCCCCCCCCCCCCCCCCCCCCCCCCCCCCCCCCCCCCCCCCCCCCCCCTTTCACAGGCCCATGGTGATTTGCGTCAGCTCCGAGTTCGGGTCCTCGCGTGGCCGAGCCTGGGACGCCAGACTCGACATTTCCACGCCTAGTCACGCCGGCTGCCGAGTCCGCTCCGTGTGGCTGAACGCGGCCGAAGTCTGCCCACGGTTGGGCCGGCCGCCCACACGGCTGGAGCCCTGCAGGTCGCGGCGGAACGCGGCCGGGAAGCAGAACTCCTTGAAGCAGCGCTTGAAGTTCTCGTCGAGGAAGGCGTACAGCACGGGGTTGAGGCAGCTGTTGGTGTAGCCGAGCGCGACGCAGATGTACCACGCGGCCGAGACGGTCGGCGTGTCGCTGATGCTCACGCGCGACTTGATGATCACGAACAGGTGGATGGGCGTCCAGCAGATGACGAAGATGGCCACGACGATGAGCACCATGCGCGTGATGCGCCGCAGGTTGCGGTCCTTCTCCTTGGAGCCCGAGAGCAGGCGCACGGTGCGCAGGCGCAGCACCATGAGGCTGTAGCAGACGACGATGATGAGCACCGGGAGGATGAAGGCGAAGATGAAGACGCAGATCTTGAGCAGGTTCTCCCACTTCACCGCGGGATGTGGGAAGTCGAGGATGCACTCGATGATGCCTGCGCATCGAAAGTGACGGTGGACGTTTGTTATCGATTCCCGACGTTTCTGTGTACATTGAACAAAGTGTTCACCTTGTTTTTTTGACACGATGAAGTGCAGCACATTGATTAAGGATGCGCGAACAGTTTGTATGACAAGATATTTTTTTTTTTTACGTACAAATTGTACATTTGGTTAAATGTTCGATTCCCCTTCGCAAAGAAAGTAAGAAAAAGGTGCAGGCCTGCAATTGCTTACTCACATCGCCGCTGATGCAAGCGCGCCTCCACTCGACGGAGCTATAGAGAGGCCCTCTCGAAAGTACTTTGCCTACTCTTCTACAGTGGCCAGCAGAGCCCATCCCTAGGATACGGCGAATCTGGATGGTTGCTCCGGGACCCCTGCGCTTTGGGGATCTCCGTGCATTGTGGGGGCCCCGTGCTTCCACATCACGGTGCCAGATGTGATACTTCCGGTTTAGTTTGAAGGCTTCGGTTGTGATTTGTCCCGGGCCCTGCATGCCCCTCGGGACGGCAATGCTGACCAGACACCTTAGAAGGGGTGGGAGGCTCCAAACTTTACCCCTTCACACACGACCTACCGATTGACTAACTGCAGTGCATCCGTATATGCTGCTGGGTGGACAGAGGCGAGTGAATTAAATCAACTTGCGCCATCATTTTAATTGCCGTGTCAGGAGCTTGAACAGGTAACCCAAAGTCTAGCGTGCTAACCATTGTGCCAAGGCAGCCTCTTGATTGTGCACGGGACATTAAAAAAGTGTACAAAGAAAAAAGTCTTATCTCTTGCTTGTTGGAGTTCTTGGTTAATGTATTTACTTATTTTGCTATGTTTTGCTAATTGCAATTGTTCCATCGGCATCATGTGATAATATCACAGAATAAATTTGGAAACATTTAAGTGCAGTGTACCCCGATTGTCAGCGAATGCATGGCTGCAGAAGAGAAATTTGACAGGGCTTCTCCAGGAAGAAAAAAAAAACCCTTCAAGTGGCATTTTTTTAATTTCCTACAAGTAAAAAAACTAAATTTAATCTGATGTAAAATTGTTGTTGTGATACTCTCTCATTGCTGGGCTGAGACCATCAACCCCCTAATACTCGAGAAGCCAGTTTAAATCACGGTTGGCTGGAACTTGGATTCGATCACCGGATCTTTGGAGTGCCAGCTCAATGATATGACCTCTGAGCCACCCGCTCACCTCCAGTGTAGAGCATTTACTTGACTATTGTCAGGCATTGTTCACCACGCGTGTGGCATATGCCAACTGGGCATACCACCTTATATAACACACCACATCACCGAGGATTTAAAATGCTCTCTTGTAGTCATTGTGATCATACAGGGCTTTAATACTTCAACCCGTCTTTATTGACTGCCTGGGTGAGTCATGCATCTAAAGCACTCCTTTTCAACATTTACCCGATCTACTCAGTTATAATTATTTACAGTATCTCCAATAGCTTTGATTCATTCGCATGGGCTGCATTTTAACCACAAATCATTCCGGTGATTAGTGTGCAATATTTTATGACATCTGTAATCCATGCAATGATGTGGGTCAATAAACAACAGGATATTTATGAGGCGTGTTGTGTTCCATCCTGCTGTGCTTAAATCGTGCAATTAACATGTGAACTAATTAATGGGTGGAGTGGTGGAAAAGTGGTTAGCGCAATAATGCTTTACGATGATGAAAAAAAAAGGAATAGGTTTCACCTTTTCAGGCAATAAAATAGGTGTTAAGTTGTTCAAACACCAAAATAGATACCTTTTGCAAGGCATCACGTCTGCATTGAGCACCCGTACTTGTGGCAACACATGCAAACATGCTTCGATAATATATCCATTGTCCTTGAAACCGATTGGCCAACACCAGAGACAGCCTTCTTCATGGCCTTGTCTCACCAGTGTTAGATCAGAGAATGCCAAAGGGCGAACACTGCAAAGGCAATGCAAGTATGAGTGCATTTATACCTCGAGATGTGCAGTTATATCTATGGGACCCAAAGGGTGAAACCCATTATTAGTTTTTCATCATTCTGGCAAAAAAATATCCCGTAAATAAATGCTGTATGAATCCGGCCATCGTAAGTTCGAACAACGGCTAACATCAGTGGCGAGGAATTTTAAACTGGACCTTGTCCCCCCCCCATCACCAACTCTCACTGACCAGCGTGGTGAAGTATGGTCAAACAACCCCCAGGACCAAAATGGATTGAAAGAGGCCTTCACCCAGCAGTGGATTGGCAAAGGGCTGTACATTTTAATGAGAAATGGCACTACCATTGCAGATTATAAATTAGTCAATAGCTTTTCCAGTTCCTTTTATATCTTGAATTGTGCTAAAACAGAATTTGGTAACGAGGAATAAAAAATATGTATAAATCAATGCAAACACAATTTCTCCAGCATTCTGTACCAAATAAACTGATTGGATGGCATAACATAAATATAATTGGAGAGTGCCATTTAAATGCAAATTCTGGGTCCGATTTATGAATAACGATGACGTGGCAGCCCACGCAGGGAACCCACCCACGAGTACCGTAGGTGCCCTGCGGAGATGGAGGAATGAAATCGGCACGTTACAGTTGCGAGGTGGATTATTACATCCAGGGCTCTGAGCGATGGTGATGGCCTGGTGGAGGCATTCCTCTGGCAGTGGATTGACCGAAGCATATTTTGATGACTTTACTGAATACATAGATATGGGGGGGGGGGGGGGGGAGTGGTGTCTCACATTAATCTCAACCGAGAGTGATACTGAAATGTAAATGCTGGGTTGTAGTATGTAAATGGTTCGTAGAAATATGTTCATGGACAGCTTGGTTAAAAAAGAAGGAAGCTGCATTAAGTTGAGGCTTAATAGACATTTAAACATACATTTTCACAGTTATCGTTAGCATATTGCCTATACTTCTCCTACGACTGGTAACTTGTGATAAGAAATTCCACCCAAAGCCAGGACACTGAAAATGAAATGGAACTAAGAAAAAAATTCCAAACGCTAAAGCCACCCTTACCCTCCTCTTTCTTGGCCGTGCCCATGACGATGACGGGAATGCCAATGGCTGACGACAGGATCCAGATGCAGATGTTGATCAACTTGGCCTTGGAGGGTGTCCGAAAGTCCAGAGCCTTCACCGGGTGGCACACAGCGATGTAGCGATCGACGCTCATGATCGTGAGCGTGAAAATGCTGGTGAACATGTTGTAGTAGTCGATGGACATCACCACCTTGCAGATCACCTCTCCGAAAGGCCACGAGCCCATGAGGTAATCGGCACTCTGGAAGGGCAAGGTGGTGGTGACCAATGTGTCTGCCAGGGCAAGGTTGAAGATGTACGTGTTGGTAGCCGTCTTCATTTTTGTGTACCTGGTTTGAAAGGAAATCCCAAAAAGGAGAGCAAGTGTTAATGTCACAATTTCCGGTACATTGCACGATCCATTTCTCAAAATAATAGCAACTTTTTTCGTCCCTTCTCCAGCTAAAGCCTGTTGTATTAAACATGTTTTTTTTACAAATGTGCACATATGGTTTGCTTGCACATTGTGGATGTGTAAAGGTCATCTCTGCAAACAATGACCTCACTACAGCAGAGATCGCCTTGCTCACTCCAGGGGCATTCATCTTTCTCGTTTTGTCATTCACACTTTCTAGATGGGTTGCAACAGATAAGCACTGGATTTCTGCTCATCCCCAGCACATATGAGAATAAAATCGCTGCAATGTACAAATGTTATATTTTGCTACTATGTTTTTTGCGGTTATGCTGTATAGCTCGCCAATGTTTTTGGGTTATATAATGCGTGTTGTTGCTTGGCATAATCTTCGCTGTTAAATGTTCCACGTGTTGGGAGCTTCTTCAGGAACTGATTCAGAATGAAACGTCACACATCATGCCAAACGTTACGCGGTAAAACCCGAAAACACACATAGGCGAGCAATGTTATATTTTGGTAGGCAGGGGCAACTATGAGCGATTTTTTCAACTGTTATTTTGGATTCTAGGTCTGTGGGTCGTGAGACGTTCCTGCATGCCGTGTGCTCGATCAAGAAGTGGATGCTACGGAAATCTTAACGTGGTAACGAACTTGAAAATATTCTATATTTAGGACGGAAGATTAACCTGATTAGGACTAGTGTGTATTGATAGACACAAATGTCAATGATGGCATCAGCCAATGTAAGAGGATGAGCATTTTGCGACTGGCCTCGTCCTGGGGAAATATTTAGGTTGAACTCGTCAATGTTAAGCTGCAATGCCCACTTTGGCACATACTAGTAGTAATAATAAAGAAATGTGTACCCACTACTAAATGTCGTCTCACTATAATGTGCACTTTCATAAGCACCAGGAAATATGCTGTGGAATGGATTATACAAGGTGCTTCAAAACAATGTTAACACTTATATGGGACTATCGCTTTTTAATGGAAGAACGGATAATACTACACTGTAACATGAAAACAAGAGCTTCAAAAAGTCAAAGAGTCTCTTCCACTTGTTCGCCATCGTTGTCAACACGTGGCCTGGAATCTTCTCCAGGTGGTCTCCTGAGCCCAAAGGCAGAAGCACATGTCACGTGGTGTTGTTCCAAATTCTTGTAAGTGTTAACATTTTTATTAAACACCCTGTATATGCACTCTCAACATGCGCTTTACACCATCAGGTGTGGTTGCACTATTTAATGCTTAATGCTGGCCCTTTTCACACACACACACACACGATTACAGCGGTGTCTTTGAAAAACGTATTTCTTTCTTTATTTTTAATTAATATTCATTCATCTCATCTTTGCCCTATTTTATTCCCAATATTGCTGTCGGCAGCATCATCCAATTGGAACTCATTGAAAAATGTTGATACTCCTACTGATCCTCCTGCTGTTATTGAGTGACTCATGCTGCCAGCTATGGCTGCAAAGTTTGGTCGTGCATGTTATGTATATCGTTTATTGTTAAATTTGAATCACAGCTCCTATGATCACTGTTACATTGTTTTTATAGCTTTATTTTGGTGATTTCGAAAACGTTTTGGTTTAGCCATGTTTGTTTGTTGTAGCACAAGGTTAGACTGATAACTTTAATCCAAATTGTCTTATGGTTGTTATTCTTTGACCTGCATCCCACTGGGATTTTTGCATGCAGCGTTGATATACGGTGCTTTTATCTGGAAGACTTTTGCTGTTTTTTCCTGGATGTTTCTGTTGCGCGTAGCCACTTTAAGATGTTCTTTGTTCATGTTTTTGTTTGTTGCGGTTGCACCCGAGTCAAGAAGGCTATACCTAATAAATGAAACTGAACTTTCAGAGCGGTGTGTTACATTGTGGACTATAGCTGCCTGTAGGGGGGAGGTATCACAACACTACAGTACTTAGATTCCTTTAAATTGTCCTATAAAACAAATACATATTAGGGGCTGCTGCTGCTGCTGTTGAGTTCAGTGAAATAATTTTGTTTAAATCCAAAGAGCGATTCCCGGAACAATTATGTGAAATTCAAATGTAACGTTAAAGTTTAAAAAACAGAAATTAGGATTGTGCACTCTTTAATGAGCAGCCAGAGAGTAAGATAGCACTAAACTGGACAACATGGCGTAATCACAGTTGGCCGAAACATAAATTAAAACTCTGGATCTCAGCCGTATGGCACAAGGAAAATTTCCTGAGTCACCTGGCCACATATAAATATGTATTTGAGCAGAAAAAAATTCAGGATTGTCTGGACATTTTATTACTTTCTCCTCAACTCTTCTTTCTCTCTCCAAGTAACGTTCTTACTCGTGTGGGCCGTCCATAAATGACGTCACGCGATTTTGGACGATTTTTGACCCCCCCCCCCTCGTCACACGGCGTCAAAAAGTCAGACCCCCCTCAAATATGACGTCACAAAGCTCTGTGCCTCCCCCCCCCAAACCATATTTCCATTTTGAAAATAAAAGATGCTTCAAATCGCTTTAAACTATTGTCATTGTAGTGCGTATTTAATGTGGCGCTGCACTCTGATGTTGTAGGAGAAAACATTTATTAAAAAAGTCTATTTAATTAAGTAGAACGCGTTGTCTATATTCATTTAAAGTTGCGCATTCTGATGTGACGTCACATTCCTCAAACCCCCACCCCCCGCTCGTCACACATCGTCACAAATGTCTGACCTCCCCCACCCCCCTTTAGGTGCGTGACGTCATTTATGGACGGACCCATGGAAGAACGTATTAAATATGTTGAGATACATTTCAAACATGAGAGTATAAATAATTGAGTGAGTTGAATATACTGTCAAACAAAAAGACAAAGATACCCCATATAGCCTTAAAAGACTATCGGGGCAAGTGCTGTTAGCGGGTGATAGCCAGACAGATTTGATGTCACAGCTCACTGGCTGTGCAAAAAATAAATGCATTATTGAGCTCCCCCCCCTTCAAACAAATAATAATGTATTTTAATAATATTTGCATGGTGTACAGTCTGGAAAGTACCCACATGGCAAATTTCAAGTCTGTTGCATGTCGGGAAGTACGCTAAACATTTTGAACAGACACACATATTCACAACTTTGCCTTTTATATATGGAGATAACAATATATACGGAACAGTTAAAACCTATTTCTTGTGGTATCTACAAATAGATGCAATTACATTAAAAAACCTCACCAATAACACAATCGTGGATTTAAAAATCTGCAATGCACTGATAAATCAATAACATTTGTACCAAAGTCCCGTGCTTCACGATGTTAAACCATTCTGGAACAATACACTGAATCGGTAAACGAAACGAGCACTTCAGGCGGATTTTTTTTTATTAAAGCTGCAATGCTACCACCTTGTGGTTGAAGGCGTTCGCTTATTTTAGCTTCGTCCGTATTTTGGCACTCATCCCAATGGTGTTGGATCACTGCCGAGGCCACTTGTTCACACTACCCAGCTATAAAGAAAACAATCGTGTCTTGTGGGTCACTCATGCATTGACGATTGAACGTGCCATGTGTATAATTGCAGCAATATATAATTTTGTGTTCTTTAAATTAGGCCACCTCACCGAGATTAAATTGACTCAGCAGAGCAGTTCTTTGCGTGGTGTAATCGGCAATTTCATGCGACATAAAATTTCCATAAACGAAACACAGGTGTGTGTGTGTGCTGGGTGAATTCTAAATGTGGATTTTTCCTTGTTCAGTTGTTCTATAATTCTGTACTGTGGCCGATTTTCACAAAATGTTTCGTGACTTTTAAATTATTATTGGTGGTGCCATTCAACGTTTCATAAAGACACAATATTGCCTTCCTTTGCAATATATATGAATATTTTTCATTGAAAAAAGTTACGTGGACTATCTGCAAATTATTATCCGGTATACTACATTCAAATGTCCATCTGCTAATGAACCGCAGGGCTGTGATCAAAAGTGGCAGCAGCGACCGTCGAAACGATTGCAGTGAAAAACGCGAGGAGAATTCGTGACATTTATTTTTTTGCTGGCATTCTGCACGACCGCCTCACTCGGCGTCGCGTCAATATGCACACGCGGGCAGACACCTTCGCTAACGCGTCCCAATCTCTCGCCGGTTCCCAAGAGTACTGGCGGGGTTGCCATGGAAATAACAAAAATCATCTCCACAGAAAGGCTCGGATATAGTGCGCGCATTGTGGGCGCAACTACAGGCAGCTAATGCGCACCCGGTGCCCCCCCCCACACCGCCCCCCCCCCCCCCGCCAGCTGACAACTTCACTCGCTATGACCATTCCCACCACAAATTGGCCACGGCAGTCAATGCAGTTTGGAAACACACAGACGGTCACGACTGCTGAGTCTCCGCGGTTGTGGTGGTGGGGGGGAGGAGGTTGGTTGTGGTGGTGGGGGGGAGGAGGTTGGTTGTGGTGGTGGTGGGGGAGGAGGTTGGTTGTGGTGGTGGGGGGGAGGAGGTTGGTTGTGGTGGTGGGGGGGAGGAGGTTGGTTGTGGTGGTGGGGGGTAGGAGGTTGGTTGTGGTGGTGGGGGGAGGAGGTTGGTTGTGGTGGTGGGGGGACGAGGTTGGTTGTGGTGGTGGGGGGAGGTTGGTTGTGGTGGTGGGGGGGAGGAGGTTGGTTGTGGTGTTGGGGGGGAGGAGGTTGGTTGTGGTGGTGGGGGTAGGAGGTTGGTTGTGGTGGTGGGGGGTAGGAGGTTGGTTGTGGTGGTGGGGGGAGGAGGTTGGTTGTGGTGGTGGGGGGACGAGGTTGGTTGTGGTGGTGGGGGAGGTTGGTTGTGGTGGTGGGGGGGAGGAGGTTGGTTGTGGTGTTGGGGGGGAGGAGGTTGGTTGTGGTGGTGGGGGTAGGAGGTTGGTTGTGGTGGTGGGGGGAGGTTGGTTGTGGTGGTGGGGGGAGGAGGTTGGTTG